TCACTCCTGTGGCTGCAGCCAAATAATAGACAGGCATATGGGTTGAACATTTACATCAGATAGATACACTACTTGGAGTGATCAATCATGGGAGAACAGAAGGGCAGTGTTTGCACAAGGAGACAGCTTATGAAGGGAAGTGCATGGGAGAGAAGGACACAGGGAAGAGGTAACTATGGGGAGGAAGTGGGCAGAGAGCTGTTGCACTGTGGGGAATTGCAGTTAATGTCATGCAACAAAATATATATAAACTGCTTACTGTATAAACCTTCACCCAAATCACAATAAAAATTTAAACAATAAAAAATATTTACAGTCTCAGAAGCCCAGTGGGGGTCGCTATGAGTTGGAATCAACTTGATGGTAGTAAGTTTAGTTTGAGATTTTGTATCCAAACAAATCAAATGTAAAAGGAAAAACAAAATTTATGAGACAACCAGTGCACTTTGACACTGACTAGAAAGTTTATGATGTTAAGGAATGATTGTTATGTTTGTAGGTGTGATAATGGGAGCACTGTGGTTATATTTTCTTTTTTAAGAATCATTACCTCTTAGAGGTACATGCTAAACTATTTACAGATGAAGTGATGTGGGTTTTGCTTTAGGAATTCATTTGGAATATACCTATAACCATACATAAGCTTGGCAGATGATCTTCCTACATACCTATTTGTATGTGCTATTAAAATGTCCATACGCAATATAAAGCTAACAGGGGACAAAGTTAGGATACCTTCTCAGCCACAACTAAGCACCTTGAGGTTGTGAGTCACTGGGCTTGCTGGCTCGGGACCATGGTTATTGTGGGACATTAAGCTCAACTGGCACAAAATAGTACATAAAAATATTTTTCTACATCCTACTTCATTGAGTAGTGACTGGGGTCTTAAAAGCTTACAAGTAGCTATCTAAGTGGCAACTATTGGTCTCTCCTTATCTGGAGCAAAGAAGAGTGAAAAAAATAAAAGACACATGGAAAAAATTAGTTCAAAGAACTAATGGACCATGGGCACATCAACCTACATGACCCTGAGACCTGAAGAACTAGATGGTGCCCAGCTACCAATGCAAACCACTCGGAAAGGGATCTCCACTGGAGATCATGAATAGAGTGGGAGAAAAAAACGTGGAACAAAATTAGAAAACATAAAAAACACTAGGCTTACTGGTTGGATAGAGACTGGTGAAACTCTGACTATGGCCTCTAATCATTCCTGTGGCCTGGAATTGAACTCACTCCTGTGGCTTAACTCTTAGCCAAACAATGGACAGGCCCATGAGCTGAATGACAACACAAAAAGAAAAAAAAATACTAATAATTCATTAGGTTGGAGGTAATAGGTGAAAGAGGATTGCCCACATGCTGATGGGTGTTTGGAGCCTGAAGTGTGGATATACTAGGCCTCATTATACCCTCCTCTCTCCTTCTGTGCATGCTTGAAAGTCTACATCATAAAGGTTTTTTTTAAAAAAAATAATAAACATAATGATTTTAAATAAAAATATTTCTATTCCTTCCTCATCCACTATCTGAGTCTAGTAGAGCAGATTAAAAAACAATAACCTGACTCATGGCAACCTCATATATTGTAGAGTAGAGCTGCATAGGGTTTTCATGGCTGTGACATTTTAGATGCATATTATCAGGCCTTTCTTCTCAGGCACTTCTGAGTGAATTCAAAGTACCAACCTTTAAACATTGACACCACCCATGGACTTAACTAGTAGAGTAGATACAACACCCCCCCCCCAAAAAAAAATCCAAACACAAAACCATTCCTGTCTAATTGTTCCTGACTCATGGCAACCCTATGTGTGCAGAATGGAACTGCTCCATAGAGTCATAGCTGTGACCTTCCAGAAGCAGTTCAACCAGCCTTTCTTTCAAGGTTCCTATGGGTGGGTTTGAACCATAATCTTTAGGTTAGTAGTTGAGCACTAACTGTTTGTGTCACCCAGGGACAATTCAGTTCCCTATAAGTTATATGAAGCCAGAGATTGTGTTGTTTTGTTTTGTTTTTGACTTCTGTTGGCATAGCACCTCAGGAATCCTTCTTATCAAAGGTTACCTGCTTACCTCCTTATCAGAGGTTTTCATGAACTTGGTACTTGTAGAATTATATGTAAGAAATTTCCTATAATATCTAGGGTCTCTTCATTTTCTTCCACTTTTATTATTATTTTTTTGGGTACATAGCCAAAGGAAATTTAAGAACTTAAACCCCTTAGATAAGAAACAGCCATGAGAGGGAAACAGAGAAGCAAGTTTCCATTAGCTGTGGACATTCGCAAACCTGGGAGTCAATGCTGACTGTGGCATTAGGACATGGCTTGTGAGCAAGAAGTTTCCCTCATCACTACAGCTGAGTTAATTTTGAAAGTAATAATTAAGGATTAGGGGCCCTATAAGAAAAAAAAAAATTGCCAAAATGGTAACCTCAAATATTGATTGCAGGTTCCATCTATGATACCCAGCTGTTCTAGCAGCAGAAGTCTGAAAACTCTCCCATTTTAATCAGGCAAGCAAGCATTCCACATGCACACTTGAAACCACACCAGACGATTTCTTCATGTTGTAAGTCACAAGAGGAAACCAGCTAGACCAATGAAACAGCTTATTTTATGATTAGAGATGTGCTTGTGTGTAAGTATGTGTGTGTGTTGTGGGGACTTGAGGGAATGTGTTCTAGATGCCACTGCCAGTTCTATTTAGAGTTAATAAAGCTTACCAGGACCCTGGAGCTCATGCAGCATGCAGCAAACAGCAGAGTTAACTGTAAAACATTAAGAGCTGATGATGATGGAGTGAGCATGAGGAGAAATCAATTGTTATGAGATGACATGAACAATGAGGAGTTAGAGGTCAAAGGAGAAGATTAGGAGGAGTGGGGAGGAGAAGAGGGAAGGATGGGGTTGTAGGTCCCCCTGAAACACTAGTACTCTTTCTTAATCTCTTTAAGGACCACTAAATGAAATTCTGAATGAGTGGCTCTATTGGATCCAACCACCATCTCTCAAGAAGAAGCACTATTACCACCACCTCTATCCTCAAAACCCAGCACCATCACCATAGGAGTAGAGTGGCAAAAGTCTCATAGTGGGACTTCCAGAAGTTAACTGACTATTCATGAAATTATGTAAGAAGTCCAGAGTTGGGGCCACTTATACATTTGGAAGTATGGAAGAGGACAGGGTATCTTGTTAGGCCCTTATTGCTGATGTGAGGTACTACATGCCAGCAAGGTTTCAGCTATCTCAAAGAACTGGAAAAGGGCACCATCACCCACAGTGACTGGAGAGAAATGCCTCCCTACATAAGGCCTTCTGCTTGGGTGTTGGTAAATCTGAAGCAACTAGGGGGAAATCCTGGGGGTCTCTGAGGAACTTTCCCTGAACAGCTGAATAGGGAATAGTTACAGTTTAGTGTCAATGGAGTCAGAAGAGACTAATCTAATTCCTGAAAGCAGTAAAACTGTCCCAGGAACTGAGTTAACAAATATCACAGGACTGTGGAGGCAGCAGGTTAGAACTGTGGGAAAAATTTAGATTTTTTAGGATCATTCAAATAGGAATCCATTCCTAATACACCATGACAGACCTTAAAATGTATAGTGTGTCCAAAGAGATTTTTTTCTGGGGGCGGGGGCAGTTGCACTTCATCCATCAGATTCGACCAAAAGAGTTAATACGTCAGTGATTGTCATATATAGACATTTTGTCATATCCTTTTTACACATGATTCTGTAACAAAAATCTCTGGGCAAATTGGTGAAAATGTTCAAATGTTGAATAAAGGATAATTGGATTGCAAAACTGAGGACCTTCAAATATAAAAGTTTACTGTTGTACAAAAGTCACTGTTTTATTTCTAAGTGATAAAGCCAGGGCCCCAGGAAAGGAGATGTGTTTTCCTTTGGCCAAATATTCGAGTTAAATCAAAGGAACAAGTGGCAAAAATAGGAGGCAATGACCATGGACATCTTTCAGAGCCTCAGGCCCCTTTAGTAAGGATGTTGTTAAACACTCCACCTGGGGGCTCTTTAAGGCACAGTGCACAAACAGCTAAAGAATGCAAGGGGACCACTGGACACTTTCTTGACATTGTACAGGCCCCATGAGAAATGTTTTTCCCTTCTCTGATTCTGGGATGAGGAGTGGGTAACTTCACCAAGCAAAGACTGAGACTGGGTCAGGATTTTTGCCCCCTGTGGTTGGTAACTGGTTGCCCATGCTATCCTGCCTTACCAAATACCACGAGATAGGGTTGACTGACAGAGGTTGATTTTTAAATCACTCCCCAGATGGAGGATGGGGCACTCAGAGAACACAGACACCTGAGCTTCTCCACTAAGTTCTTGGTACCCCAGGCCAGGAATGAAGAAACAACCAGGAAGGATGGGAAATCGGGCCTGGGCTGTAGCCTGCAGCTTCGGCAGCAGCAGTTAAGCTCTAGTGCCTGCAGCTAGTGAAAATGGAGACAGGGTGAGGCTGGAACACAGGAATGTGTTCCAGACCATGCCTCTGATATAGGCCTATCAAGAAGCAGGCCCGGAAGCCAGATCAGCTCCAGCCTCTCGGGGAGAGAGGGTGTGCCCCAAAGTCTCTTCTATAGGCTGTCTTTCTTCCATCCCTCCATCTGCCCTTCTTTTTGTCCTCCCTCTAGTACAGCTTTGCAGCTCTCATTGTTTCTCCCCTTCTATTCTCTCACTTTCCTTTTGCTTTTCCTCTCCTTTCCCTCCCTTTACTTCCTACCTTAAGTTTGTAGGCAGGGCTTTTCTCAGAGTAGCTGGGCCTCTGAGGCCACATTCTACCCCTACTCTCAGCTCCCCAACAACCTCCAAAGGCCCCCTGGGAACACTGAGACCAAATATAGGTGCCCAAACTGGTCAAACAGCCCCTAGGCTCACCTACCCACAGCCCTCTCAGCCTCCAGCCCTGCCCTGAGGGGACAAGCAGGGAGAGAAAGCAGCCACCATCCCGGCCTAGCCTACCACTTACTTTTTCTTCTCTTTGTCTCTTTTCAGAGTCTGTGACCCTCCAGCCTGAGAACCCTGGGACTGGAGCAGCTCAGCGGCCGTCTTTCTCTGTTTGAAAGCATTCACTTCATCATCCAGGGATTTCTTCTTGTCTTCCAGCTTCTTCTTCTCATCCTGGTGTAGCTTCTTCAGGCGGTCGAACTTCTCGTGCAGCTAGTGGGGAAGCAGAGGGAGTTTGGGGAGAGTGAGCTGGTAAGCAGCCCTCAGCCCAGCAGAGCCCGGGGGGTGGGGTGGGGTGGGGGTGGGGGGCTGGCAGGGCTGCAATCTCTATTGTATGAGAAAACAGAGGGTCGGAGTAGTTAAGGAATATGCCTAATGTCAAATCAGCTAGGAAGTGGCAACCCCAATCTTTAGAGGATTGTATCATGGGACCTCTCAATATGAAAGCAGTCCCTTGCCTTTTCTTAGTCCCTGCAAGCAGGGAGGTTCTCCATGGATTGCAGAGAAAACTTCAGCAAAGCTAATGTTGGTCAAAGAAAAATTTTGAACTTGGAGACAGAAGGAGATAAAAAGATTTTATAAAATGGAATGACTGTGGAGATCTCAGCTTTGACCACAGGGAGGCTTAACTAGTCCCGAATAAGATCAGGTCCCAATGAAGAACAGCGAGAATGTTCTGGCATATCATAGTGGATCAAGAGCAAGAAGTATGGGCAGTGACCAACCAGAGTGCGATAAACTACCCTGAATGCATAATCTCACTTTCTTCTGAGGATTCAGGAGAGAATTCAGCATTCTGTAGCACTTGCAGGGCACCATGAAGAAAGTTGCTTCTCCAGGTTCTATAGGTATTTGGGACTGTCACTTAGTAAGATATGGTGGGTGACAGAACTTGGATATAAACCAGCTTTTCTACTAGTCACTTCCAGTGGCTAGGTAGAAGCTCTGTCTACCAGATGCTTTTGTTCATTTGACTTATTTGTTGACAATCCCTTGACCCCTCCCTTCCTAAAAGTGGTAAGTGACATTTTTCTTTTGAAAAGTGAATCTGAAATAAACTATTTTTGCCACAGGCTTTGGTGATAACCCTGGAGAGTCACAGCAGATTAAAGGTGGAAGAGACTTGTAAGTCAGTAAGGACTTTCCTTCTTCATGGTAGAGGCTCTCCCAAGCAGTTGCAGGCGTGACCAAAACCGTACCCTTAGGCCAATGAATCTGGCAGCACTGGGAGAATTGGTAGGGGAGACTCTAGAGGCAAGGCGACCAATTAGAGGACTGTTGCTGTTGTTAGGAGCCATCAGTCAATTTGAACTAATAGCAACCAAGAAAACACTATGGAGCAGTTCTATTCTGAACACATGGGGTCACCGTGCATCAGAATAGACTTGATGGCAATAGATTTTTTGGGTGTGTGTGTGGATTTTTTGGATTGCCAGGCCTTTCTTCTGCGGGACCCCTGGGTAGATTTGAACCTTCAACCTTTTGGTTAGCAGCTAATTGCTTAATTGTTGGCACCACCCAGGGACTCCCAAATTTAAATTTCAATAGTCACATTTAGTTAGTGGCTACCTAATTGGACAGCACAGCTTGAAATAGCTGAATCACACAGAATGAGAACACATTCCAGCTTTGGAGAGTAAGAAGATGAGACCTAGTTTCACAGCCCAATCTGTGCCAGCCAGAGGAGGACTACACATGCCCTGCCCATCCCTGCCCAGAGCCTGCAAGGCTCCACCGGCTACTCTCTAAGGCAAAAACCCCTGCCATGCCCAAGTTCAGCTTCCTTTCCCTTCCAACCTGGCACCGAGCTTTCATTTACCTCTTTCTCTGCCTCTTTCAGCTCTGCTTCTTTCTCTTTGACTCTCTGGACGAACATCTGCCTCATCTCCTCTTCTTTTTTCTGGAGCTCCCCTAGGAACTCATTCCTTTTGGCTTCATACGTCTCCTGTAAACTGCAAACATGGTCAGGTTAATTCCCACTGCCTTCTGAATGGTTCCTATTGGATGAAAGTTGTCTCCAGTGATGCATCACCCTCCCTTCCCCATCTCTGGGAGAAGTTTAAAAATAAAAAACAAAAACAGAACCATCAAACTGTGGGCAGTTAGCTTGGCACAGAGCTGCTTGAGGTGGATGATGCAGCTCTGGTGAGCTAGAGAGACATTTGGAACTGGAGTGACTTAGGAACACCTTGTGCTATACTCTCATTTTACAGATGAGGAAACCAAGGTCCAGAGAGGTAAGGTGACTTGCCCAAACTCACATGGCTAGTTAAAGGCAGAACTGGGACCAAAAACTATGTTTCCTGACTCTTAAATCTGGGTGTTTTCACTGCACTAGGCTGCCAGGCTCTGGCTCTGAAACTGACTGTGTCAATTAATTATATCAAACTCTTGATGAGACTCCACCATGTACTAGACTCAGTACTGGTCAACACTCTGCTAGTCACTCAGCCTCTAGAGCCAACAGACACAGGGCCAGCCACCAAGAAACTCACAGACTACCCGGAGACCAGAAGAACTAGATGGTGCTCAGCTACCAAGCCAACCACTTGGGAAAGAATCAAAACTGGAGATACTGGATAGAGTGGCAGGAAAAATGTGGAACAAAATTCAAAAACACAACAACGACCAGTTGGATAGAGTCTGGTGGTACCCCTAAGACTATGGCCTTGGGATGCACTTTGGGCCTGGGATAGGACCCACTCCCAAGGATTGGCTCTCAGCCCAACAGTGGAAAGACTTACATGCAGAACACCCAACCTAGGGT